GTTATTTTCAGGGGGTTTTATCAGCCAGAACTAGGCTTTCCTTTTGGGAATTATAGGGACAGAACTTCCCAAACTGTACAGAAACTTATTCATGTGTGCTACTACAGCGGCAATTATGTTACTTGCCCCAAAATGGAAAAAAGTCCTAGCAAAGGAAGAATGGATACAAAAACTTATGGAATATGCAGATATGGTGAAAATTATTGGAAAAATATGAAATCAAGATAACGAACTTTTTATTAAAAAATGGGAATCGTTTCTTGAATATTTACAGATAAATTGTAAAAAGATAAGAACATGGCAGGATTATTGTAATAACCTGCAGTTTCATAAGAGTATATATTTAAAGTAGATGAATAAATGACTAAGTTAAGTTAATTTGGATATGCAGAAGATATTAAAAATAAATTTAAGGAACCACGTAAAGAGGGGGAAAGATGTCAAGTTTTGAAATGGTAAATTAACTGTAAAATTATTGAAATGGATAAACCTGATATATATAAACATATGATCAGCCAGAACTCATCAGAACTCAATTCTGGCACATCTTAGGTATGCACCATTGTAAGATCACCTGTTTTTCTAGAAAAATAGCACTGATTATGTTAACTAATTTATAAGTGCCTTTGTATACATCTCTATAGTTGTGGTGCGCTGCATGTGGCATGTCCTCCTCAGGGAGGCTCACCTGGTGCTCTATGCAAAGTCTTTGTTGCACCAGGCGAAAACCTTCCCCTGTTTTTTAATAAATAAATACATAAAAATAACCTGACCTTTCAACACGATACTTAAGCTGGCTTGAAAACAACTGGTTCTATTCTCTTTTAATCACCTGGGTTTTTTCTTCTTCTTGCTAAACTATGCTAATATACATTATTATTATTATTATTATTATTATTTTAATTGATACAGCAAGAAAAAAGAAAAAAACACAAATACCAAATTACACACAGGAATAACCATACACACATAATTTTCTTAACAAACAATAAAATAAAAATTGGTCTTAACACTAAAGACCCAACCTCCCGTCTATTCCATATTTCGATTTCATATTACTTATTGCCAATACACACTTTTATCATAATTAAACTTTTTCTTAATATATCTAATTTCTTATAACTACCTTGCAACTATTACTGAAGTTCCTCAAATGCTGCAACAGAATTTAAACTACTATATTTATTTTTCAAATATTCTTTGAAAACCTCCCATTCTGAGACAAATTCCTGTTTTGATTTATTCTGATTTTTTCTGATAGACCGGCATATTCTGTCAGCTTTTGGATCCAATCTTGTATAGAGGGGATTTCATTACTCTTCCATTTTGCCGCGATCAGAACTCTCGCATATAAAAAGGTACCCTTCCTCTTTTGCGGAATATCCAGATCTGTTATTATACATTACAATATACATTTTTTTATTTTTTATTTTTTTTAACTTTTATTTTGCTTTAAACAGGTATGTATAAATGTATATTCAATATACAATATTTTAAATTAGTATTAGTTTTACTCATCAACCACTCTGGGGGCTTGTTAAAAAGGGGACACCCTAAAACATTATAAAGAAAGAAAGACAGACTTGGGCTGGCTCTAGGATAAAAGCAAGCTTTCTCCTCCCTTCCAACCTTTCTGCTTTTTTGCAATGTCGAGCCCCTATGTGCAGTTGAAGAGGAAGCGATCTCTGTCCTATGCTTTCTCAAACCTGAGAGATGAAGTGTCCTATGATTCTAAGCACGTTCACTCAGAAGCAAGTCACACCGAGCTCAATGTTACTTTCTCCCCACTAAGTGTGCTGAAAACTGTAATCCTATGCACATTTTCTAGGGAGGGCTTCCCATTAGACCCAGTGGGACTTACTTTTCGGGAAATATAGATAAGTGGTTGGCGTGTTGTTTTAGTTCCATATAGTGTGGTGTAGTGGTTAAGAGCGGTGGACTCATAATCTGGGGAACCGGGTTCGCGTCTCCGCTGCTCCACATGCAGCTGCTGGGTGACCTTGGGCCAGTCACACTTCTTTGAAGTCTCTCAGCCCCACTCACCTCACAGAGTGTTTGTTGTGGGGGAGGAAGGGAAAGGAGAATGTTAGCCGCTTTGAGACTCCTGAAGGGGAGTGAAAGGCGGGATATCAAATCCAAACTCTTCTTCTTCTTCTTCTTCTATTTGGTGGAGAGAAAGAGAGAAAACATCTGATAGGCTCCCCTATTCATCCTTTCTTTTTGTTTGTTTATAACACGCCAATGCTACTTTTGTCATATTGGATTTTGTGCAATGTGCAGACACGAAACAAGCAACACCCTAAAATGTAGTAGTCGAATCATAATCATAATCATAATAATTTATTATTTATTCCCCACCCATCTGACTGGGTTTCCCCAGCCACTCTGGGTGGCTTCCAACAAAAGATTAAAAGTACATTAAAACATCAGTCATTAAAAGCTTCCCTAAACAGGGGTGCCTTCAGATGACTTCTAAACATCAGACAGTTGTTTATTTCTTTGACATCTGATGGGAGGGCATTCCACAGGGCAGGCACCACTATTGAGAAGGTCCTCTGCCTGGTTCACTGTAACCTCACTTCTCGCAGTGAGGGAACCACCAGAAGTCCCTCGGAGCTGGACCTATGTGTCCAGGCTGGATGATGGGAGTGGAGACGCTCCTTCAAGTATACTGGGCCGAGGCCGTTAAGGGCTTTAAAGGTCAGCACCAACACTTTGAATTGTGCTTGGAAACGTTCTGGGAGCCAATGTAGGTCTTTCAAGACCGGTGTTATGTGATCTCAGCAGCCAGTGCTATGTGGTAAAAAACAGTAGATGACATCTTTGAAAAGGCAGAGAACTCTTTGATCTGAAAGGTGTTTTTGTCCGGCACACAAAGGATGACAAATTTAATTCTATTAGAGTTTAATTGCTTTTTAAAAAGACTATACTTTATGTTTTTAGCCTTTTGGATTTTATTCTTGGTGTTTTAATTTGTGCAAGGCGCATGGAGTCTGGGGAAGTTGGTGCCAGGCAAACACATTTGAGGAGGGCATCCCATAACTGGGTCAACACTGCCATTTTAAAAGTCCTCTGCCTTGTTCAAGTCTACCTTAGAGAAGGGCATCGGCAGATGTTATTAAAATATGAGAAGTATACACTTCACACATCCAGTCACTTACTCTGTCTTCTAAACCAAAGGAAAATGGCCTACAGATAAGCTGATGTTATTTTAAAATTTGTGAGAGTTGCCTGGGGGCATTTAGGGGGCGTTGTTGTTGCTGCTGCTGCTAATTTTTTGTATCTTAAGATTTATGTGGAAAGTTTCTGATTTTGTTGTATACTTTTGGATGTTCCTTTATTGTTCGACTACTTTTGTAAGCCACCTTGAGCGTGGCTACAACTTTGGAAAGGCGGCAACCTTAAATTCAGTTTTCCACATTTCCGCACCATTTTGTGACTTGTTTGTTTGTTTTTTTAAAAAAGGTCCTTATGTAATTCCATCAGGATTTCAGAGTGAATTTCTCCTAATAGACACATGTTGGGATACAATGCTGTCTACCGTAAACATTTTTGCAGCGCAGGCTCCCCCATTGTAAAGCATTTCTGCATATTGTCTTTGCGAATATATGTCCGTTATGCACACTTTACCTCAGGTTGTACAAAAAGAAGAACCGCACTGCAAAATTTGGGAAAGGTGCAGATTTTGCTGGGTGGCTTTGCTTTGTGTAGGTTTTTCAGAAAGTGCTGACTAAGTAGGCTTGCCTTTAAATGTGATCTGAATCAGATTTCCCCCCACCCCATCCCTTCCACAGGGAAAGAGACCGACCAAAAGAAGAATATTTCACTATACAATGTTGTACACATCTATCAATGTGTTCAATGTAGTTGTTTACAGCTAGCCCTTTCTGACTAAAATGGTTACATGATGTCTCATCCTGGCTTGGCAGTCTTACAGACAGGCAATTTTGTTTCAGGCTACATGTGAGCATGCCTCAGGAGCGTATCTGTTTGTGGTTTTTAGGAGGAAAAGTAACTGAAACACATGTTTTGGAACTGCACTTCTCTCCCACCTTCAATTTAAACAAATACATTCAAGAACAGACCTTGGATTGTTGGTACAAATGACATTGCTCCTCCCCCCACTGCGTTTTGACTACATATCATTATTTCTTAGGTGCACATATATTTCTGGTTGTCATGAAGAAATGCAATCGCAATAAACATTCTACAATGCACTGTATTGTTGAAATTTAAATATTTTTTTCATCTATACATCTCTGATCAAGTGAATACTGTAGTTTTAAAAGTGTAAAATAAAGCTGGATTGAGGGACCAATTCTTCTTTTTTAAAAATGGATCTATTGCAATTAGCTTCCTTAATACATTAGTAATTAGTTTATTCTAATGGCCGAGAGACTCCATTTCACAGTTCTGTATTCGGAGTACAGTAGAGTATAAAATGATATTAGATTTACTAGAATTTTTTTAATGACTGGACAATAGCCACATTACTGTTCATCCAAAAAAACCAAACCCCACCCCCAGAAAGCACAGCTTATTGAAACATAGTTATGGGGAAAGAGCTCTTCATGGGGAAAGATTTCACTTCATCCCCACAGTAATTCTAACAAGTGTGAATTTATAATTAATTGCAAAGAATTTGAGAAGTGAATATTTCAGTTTAAATTAGATGGATCAGGGATGTCAAACTTGTGGCCTTTGGGGCTCTGCAATCTGGCTCTCTTGGGTGATTTTGTTAATTAAGCACATATTTTCTTAAGGGGGAAAGAAGTGTTTTGCTTGCAGTGGCAGCCTGACTGTGCAAGAGAAGTGTTTTCATCACCCGCTTGCCACAGGGAAGCTATAGGGAAGCTGCTTTGCTTTATTTCCCCGAAGGCTCAGGGGACAGTGTGATGATGTGAGCTACGAGTCCATCGAGCAACTGCCATCCCTGCCCTTGTACAGATGTTCAGCAGCTTCCAAGGAAACCAGCCTGTTGCATAAAAAGGAGAAGCAAGATGAGCATATGCAAACAAGGTGAGCTCAGTCCAGGCTTCTCTGTTGGCCGCAGTGAAAACAGGATGCTGGAACCTAGGGACATTTGGTGTGATCTCACAGGGATCCACCCCTATCGTTCAGCCCGGACACTGAGGTCCAGCTCTGAGGACCTTCTGGAAGTTCCCTCACTGCGAGAAGTGAGATTACAGGGAACCAGGCAGAGGGCCTTCTTGGTAGTGGTGCCCGCCCTGTGGAACGCCCTCCCATCAGATGTCAAGGAAATAAACAACTATCTGACTTTTAGAAGACATCTGAAGGCGATCCTGTTTAGGGAAGTTTTTAATGTTTGATGTTTTATTATGTTTTTAATATTCTGTTGGGAGCCGCCCAGAGTGGCTGGGGAAACCCAGCCAGATGGGCTGGGTATAAATAATAAAGCACAGTGGTACCTCGGGTTACAGATGCTTCAGGTTACAGATGCTTCAGGTTACAAACTGTTCTGGGAGATGGAGGGTCTGGAATGCTTTCAGCTGGGTGTTGTTCTGGCTCTCTCATGATTTCCCACCTTTCCCCCTCATCTGCCTCTGAGCTGCTCAAACCCATGTTGTAAATCTATACTGTCTTCCTCTTCCTCCTCCCTGGAAGAGTCACCATTCCTCCTCTGCCCAGTCCTTAACAATTACCGGTAGTTTTCTTTAACAGTGGAAGCAGGTTTTCAGATTATACACAAACTCTTCTTCAGACTTCGATTATGAGAGCAAAAAAATTAAACAGTCTAACTAGAAACAACTGGGTAGTCAGGCTGATGGTTACTTGGTTGCAGAAGTTTACTGGCTATTGCTGTTGGCATGGAAATAGTCTAGGCTGAATGCAAACATGCCATTCTGATGTCATGTGTGATGTCACAAAGAGCATATGCTTTAAGTCTTGGTAAAACCAGAAACAGTTAACAGTCAGACTGCATCTCAGCACTGTCAAGACGGATCTCCATAACAGGTGATGAATAGTTTTATTTGGGGGATATATTAACTTTTACTATTGGGGAAAAGTTTTAGATTGGTTTACCATTTTGTAACTCATCAAGTTGAGGCCAATAGATACACATTCACAACCCTGTACCCATCAAATAATCAACTTTATGTGTGACTTTGGGACTGATTCACACAACCACATTTCCTTTCTGCACTCTATAGCAGCCTTTTCTCTGTATTTGAAAAAAAATAGCCAAGAAGGAGAAGATAAGTAACCAGGAAAAAGATCTAGATAAGTATGGTAAGGATCTAAGCTTTACAAGTGAGGGGGCTAGGATGATGGCTTTGTGGTCCAGCATGTCCTGCTGGGGATACTGGACCAGCAGATCCTCGACTCATTAATGCCTCCTGTTTAGTATACCTCCCATTTCCTCTCTCTGTCTTCCCCACCTATCCTGACTCCATGCTAGACTGGCATTCCCAAATGCCAGTCCCAGTAGTGCGGACTAGTTGAAAAATGTGAGACCCAAACAACGATTTCACATTTATTGTTGCAAGGAGAGGGAACAAATGTCTTTTTTCCCTCTTGCACTAATGTTCTTGCTGATGCAATAAACATCTGAATGGGGCCATCACAGTTCTGTTGCTGAATATAAGAAGAACAGGCTCTAATTCCCACATATAAGTCTCCCTATGCTCTTTAGGTAGAATGTAAGCTTATTAAATGCATACTTGACATGCAGCGGTAGTGGGAGGCCCCATTAGCTAAAGTGGTACCTCAAGTTAAGAACAGTTTCAGGTTAAGAACGGACCTCCAGAATGAATTAAGTTCTTAACCCGAGGTACCACTGTATTAGTATTAGTATTAGTATTAGTACCCCACCCATCTGACTGGGTTGCCGCAGCCACTCTGGGCAGCTTCTGACATTACCATACTTTTCTGTGTATAAAACTAGGTTTTTTTCTTTAAAAATTAAGCTAAAAAAGGGGGGGTCGTCTTATACATGGATAGTGCATACCACAAATTTCTTAAATTTGAGTCTCCCAAAATTGGGGGCATCTTATACATGGAGCGTCTTATATACAGAAAAATATGTTATATAAAAACATAATAAAACATTAAATGAGAGATGATTCAAACCATAGAACCACCTCTTTTGCCAGGCTTGAATGCACTCCTCTGCCTGGTTATACGGCATATTCTTTTCCTCTGCAGCAGCCTGTTTTCTGTTGGTTTTAAAAAGCCAAGGGAGCGTTTGTTCTTTTTGGGTAAAGGGATTTGCAAAACATCTCCGGTTGGCAAGATGGTATCAACATTTCAGAATATGCCTGAGCACTTGCGGGGTTTTGTGGGGGAATGGCAGGCTGTGCACTGCGTGGTGCTTTTGCACACATTTGCAGGCACTCATATGGGTGCGCACTAAGACAAGATGCATCCAACCCACAGAGATTTAACACTGAGAGTCCCCAGAGAAGCAAGTCAGCTGGATTCTGGATCAGAACGCTACCAACTAACACGAAACATGGAAAGCCACCTTTCGAAGAAAAGAGGGGCAGGGAGATCAAGATTTTGCAGGGATAGGAGCTGCTCAACAGGGATAGTCCCTGGTCAACAGGGATGGTTGGCACACATGCAACAGTTCTATTTGAAAGACAGATACAATATATTGATGCTGAGCCAGTAACTGCACATGTTGCCAAAATACATCTGAGCAGAATCCAATGTGAGGGAATTAAAGAGAGCAGGCAGCTGCCTGGTGGGGCACACCAGAAGGAACACTGCCTTACCTGGAAATGCCAGGGATTCAGCCTGAGACCTTCTGCAAGCAGAGCGGATGCTCTCCCACTGACTCACAGCCCCTTCCCATCATGCCAGCAGCAGCTCTGGTGCTGTTTCTCACAAGGCCAGCTCCTGATGCAAACTGGGGCTTCGCTCCAGACATGGCAGGAATTGTGAGGCTGCACTGTCAAGGGCTAACAGCACGATCAGGCCATGCGCAGGTTAGAGGGAAGATGCAAGACTGAAATGCAGTTAAGTTCCTTTTTTAGAGGGTGCTGCACTTTTGGATCCTTATGCTGTCCCGCCACTTTGTGAGGCTGAGACAAGTGGTATCAAAGGACTCGTGGCTGTTGTGTCCTTCTCACTAGTAAGTTTAAAAAATGATTGATAACCCAGGGTTATTAAAGCACGTCAGTACTTTTTCAGGGGATGGGGGAAGTGGTTGGTGGAGCTTCCTGTGGGCCCTGCCCCTTTTGCACCTTGATGCTGACCTTTAAAGCCCTAAACAGCCTCGGTCCTGTATACCTGAAGGAGCGTCTCCACCCCCATCGTTCAGCCCGGACACTGAGATCCAGTGCCGAGGGCCTTCTGGTGGTTCCCTCATTGCGAGAAGTGAGGTTACAGGGAACCAGAAAGAGGGCCTTCTTGGTAGTGGCGCCCACCCTGTGGAACACCCTCCCTTCAGATGTGAAGGAAATAAGTAGCCATCCTATCTTTAAAAGACATCTGAAGGCAGCCCTGTTCAGGGAAGTTTTTAATATTTAACGCTGTACTGTTTTAACACTTGATTGGGAGCTGCCCAGAGTGGCTGGGGAAACTCAGCCAGATGGGCGGGGTATAAATAATAAATTACTATTATTATTATTATTATTATTATTATTATTACCCCAGGCACGGCAACTGATGCTACACCACTGCCTACAAGTAAACGTCACAGGAGAGGCTGAACTCATACATTGCAACCAGGCCTTTACTTTCAGCATATGGAGAACATAAAGACTTTGTAGGTGTGTGTAAAATGTGAAAGCTTTGCACCGAAATTCAAGTAGACTCAGTACCCTTTCACAAAAATAATTGATTGCTCAATTATTTGGTATACACTTGGTATGCATTAGCAAACAAGGAAGCTGAACTGCTGATTAATTGTGCGGCATTGTCTCAATTGTGCAGCTGCCAATTGTGGCCAAGAAAAGCAACCTGATGCCTCATGGATTATACAGAATGAAAGGTCAGCCCTTACCACAAACAGCAGGAGGCAAATGAGGAGCCAGTCACAAGCTTGTAGGTGGGCTGGAAATTCTTCTGATTTGTTGGGGTAACAGGTAAATATTTCTTTAGCCCTTATGCATTCCATATTTCCCATACGGCATCATCTCCCCCTCCAAGAAAGATCACTGCGCTGGCAATTTGCCAATTAATTGACATGTCACCGATTCAAAGCTGGAATTCCTTTGCATATTCCTCTAGCAGAGGCCATACATAATGTTAATCAAAGAACAAGTGGGAAATGCAACGAAGAATGTGGTGTGCTGCTGTTCACTATCAGCCAGGCCCACCCCCCGTAACAGTCCATTCCATTCCAGGGATGTGGGTGGCACTGTGGTCTAAACCACTGAGCCTCTTGGGCTTGCCAATCGGAAGGTTGATGACTCGATTCCCCATGACGGGGTGAGCTCCAGTTGCTCTGTCCCAGCTCTCGCCAACCTAGCAGTTCGAAAGCACACCACTGAACGTACACAAACAGATACTGCTGTGGCTGGAAGGTAAACAACATTTCTGTGCGCTCTGGTTTCTGTCACGATGTTCCGTTGCACTAGAAGCGGTTTAGTCCTGCTGACCACATGACCTGGAAAGCTTTCTGTGGACAAACACCGGCTCCCTTGGCCTAAAAGCAAGATGAGTGCCGCAACCCCATAGTCGCCTTTGACTGGACTTAACTGTCCAGGGGTCTTTTACTTTTACCTATTCCATTCCCCCCTCATTCATTATGACCCATCACTCTGCACAGCACCACCACCAAACGACCCATCAGCATTCTGTGTCTATAAATTATGCTGAATTCTTAGTGGGTTTTTTGAGGGGTTCACTGCATTTTGGGTCACCCCTTGAACATTATTTCATATTTCCACAAATCTTGGGGTTTCTGAGTCTGTGGGTACTAGTGCTGTGACAAAAAACAAACAAAACCTCCCACATTTGTTGTTTTGACCATTATTCATCAGTAAATGAGACAAATTGAATTCAAAAATTATCAAGGTGTGTGTGGGAAATGGTGACCTCTTGTTGATGGGGTGCTTACCTAACTTTTGTGGTGTTCTGAGTTTGTACCTCAATATGTGGTTTATTGTTTCACCTCTACCCAAACAAAAGTTTGCTACCGCTTGAAGCAGGTGCAATGCTGTCCGCAGTGCTAAGGTTAAGCAAGGTAAAGCAGCAATGCTCCCCCTTCCTGAAAATTTTGGAAAACTCTTTTCCGCCCCACTTATAATTTTTTTTCTTGGAGGGGTGTGAGTTTTTATTTCACCCTGCTCTAGCCTACTCAATGCATTGCCACAAAAGACATTTCCACCACAGCTCTAATTTTACCTGCTTTCTCTGGCTTTGGAAAGCCATTGTTGTTTGCTATTGATTTGTCTCTTTTTCATGTTTGCTTTAAGGTGCCCTGGAGTTTTTTGTTTGTTTGTTTTTTAAGGAGAGGTATAAAGAGTTGAAATAAAAAATAAATAACTACTGCACTACTCCAGCCTTCTCTCTCTCTCCCTCCCTCCTTTCTGTGCATGTGTGTGTGTGTGTGCACATATGCACACACCCCGTATCCTGCAATTTGAGCTATGTTATTACCAATGCAGTTAAAAACTGCTAATCCAGGCATGAATTGTTCTAAGGAGTGCTTTTCTTCAAAACAAGCATATATCATCCGACTTGAACTATCCATTGTCATCCTCCTTAGACATGAGATGCTACAGGCTTACTATGTCAGAGAGACAATTTCTGCCTAACACAGCATCGTACTCCCGCCACCAAGAAAGACGGCTATAGAAATCCTTTGTGCACTCTTTGTGCCTTCATGTCTTTTCACCCGCACCCAGAGAAGTACTTCTGCAAGACAATTGACTGCTAAACATAGGGCCTTGTTTTGCAATTGCCCAAGAACTGCTTTAGCAACAGTCATAATGGGAAGACCTGAAAATGAACAGCAGACAGATTTGAAAGAATGAAAGTGCCTGCACAGAAGAAAAGAAGGAAGATACTAACCCGGGGAACATAACAAGGGTCAAGGGTCAGCAAATTAAGCCCAGAGATGTAGCTACTCACCTACAGGAATATATTAAAAGTGCCTCTGAACACATGCAGAGTCGTCTTTTTGCCAAACAGGCTTCACCTGCCCTTCCATTCCCACACAAAGAAGGGCTTAAAGGGCAGGTGTTGTTTCTTCCCCCTAATTCTGAATCATTGAACTTTTTGTCAGAAATTGAGTACAGTAGTACCTCGGGTTACAAACGCTTTGGGTTACAAACACTTCGGGTTACAAACTCTGCTAACCTGGAAGTAGTACCTCGGGTTGAGAACTTTGCCCCAGGATGAGAACATAAATCACGCGCTGGTGGCAGGAGGCCCCATTAGTGAAAGTGCGCCTCAGGTTAAGAACAGTTTTGGGTTAAGAACAGACCTCCAGAACGAATTAAGTTCATAACCAGAGGTACCACTGTAATTCTTCCACTTCCCTTGCAAGTATTCAAAACTAGAGAGCACTGGACTCACCCACAAAAAACCCCCGGTCCTAATTCTTCCCCCACCTCACCAGCTCTGATCCAGCTGCTCTTTGCAGTTCACAGACATTTCCCACGACTCTCTGGCTCTCTTGCTGCAGGCAGAGTCTTCGTTCTGTGCCAGAGCACATTGCAGCTGAAATATGTTTCCCTCCTAAAAGCCTTCTAGGTTAAATACAAATTAAATACTTTTATAACAGCTAGTCCCCTAGAGATGCATAGAAAGGGAGAGTGGAACAAGGACGAGGCAGAGAAGGGACATCAGGACAGGACAGAGTGGAACCCATCAATAGTAGTGGCAGTAAGAGGGCAGACCCAGATATTTGGGTGCTTGCCAGGAAACTTGAAATCAGGGACTGAGGCTTGGAATTTCTGGGTGAAAGGCAGATAACTGGAAACCTATTAATTCATTGTAATTTCTATCCTGTTCTTCCTTTTGAAGGAGACCAGATTGGCATACAATAAAAAATAGTAAAGGAAAAAGAGAGGGGAAAAAACTTTAATGTACAGTACAAATAGGGAATGTAGCGGCCAAAATATCTAGGACTCAAAAGGCTGATTAAAAATAAAAAGTTGTAACCAAGCTAAGCAATGAAAGCAACCCCAAAAAGGCACAATACCTTGCGGATGGGAAGAAGGGCCTCTGTGGAAGATTTTGATTCTCAAGAAGAATTGAATGAAGAAAGGTGGTATTTGGGGAAACCTGAAGCCATTTCTGTGAACCGCCCTGAGACACCCCCCCCCCCCCCAGGTATAGGGCAGTATATAAATTCAATTAATAATAATAATAAATAATATTTTTGGGTTTTATAGGCCAAAACCAGCACTTTGAGAATTGCACCTGGGAACAAATAGATAGCCAATGTAGTCAGTATAAAACAGAGAGGGTTTGTGATGTGAGCCCTACATTTTACCCCTGCAAGTTCTTGGATTTAAAGGGATCTTGCCCAACATTGTGAAATAATTTCTTACAGGACATCAGCAAAAAGTTCCACCCCGCTTCCATGGGAGATATGCTTCCTAGCGTACAATTCTGGGTGAGGGGTGCATTATTCTCCAACATTATTCTCTCTCATTAAAAAATCTGCAATCATCTAGTTACTCCTATGCATATGTTGATTCCATGTAACATTTCAATATTGTGGAACTATGGCTTATATTTCATTGCTAATTGGAATTAATTTTGTGACATTTATTGTTTTTGTAACATGTTTTGAACATTTGGGAAGGTGAAAACCTTAAAACAGCATTTGGGAGTAAACAGAGAAAACCTTCAGATTTCATAAGGCACATTACCAAATTCATTATGCCAATGGAAATTTCCGGTAAATCAGCACTGTTTTTGCCATTAACAGTGGCAAAACAGTGCAGGTGAGCTAATGATCACCTCTGTTTTCCTCGTCTCTTATTTAGGCAACAGTCTTTGAGTTTTTCCCTTTACACTGCAACCCTTTTACAATGAGGCAATAACATGAAATCCATTTGTAATGGCCCTTAAAGCTCCAACTAGGTACTCAGACAAAGTGATACACTTACAGTCATACACTCTGAACATTATAATGCCATTACGAATGCTACCGGTCCTATTTCTGGATGCATTGCCAACTATTGACATTTGTTGTAATCACGCATCCATGTTAAAATCCCAGAGAGAGAGAGAGAGAGAGAGAGAGAGAGAGAGAGAGAGCGCTGGGGGTGGATGAAATTCACACTTCTCGCTACTTTTGTTTAAACACGGGATGTCATCTGTGCACAGGTTTTTGCAATCTGTTCACATCTGAAAAAAAAGTTTCTGGCATATGGACTAGATACTCTGCTCTTGCTTCTGCATTTGGATTTAGTAGCAGAAGGCAACAGTGAGCCACAGCCTTTTGAAACTGTATTTCGCCCCCCCCTTCCTTCACAAATTGTCAAAACAGCATCCAATCTTGCAGGTTTGGTTAGTCATAACAGTGCTTCATCACTAGGGTTACAGTGGAACCTCAGTTTTCGAATGTAATCCGTTCCGGAAGACCATTTGACGTCCAAAACCAAAAACTGAAAGTGGAAGCCTCAATAAAGGTAAAGGTAAAGGGACCCCTGACCATTAGGTCCAGTTGTGGCCGACTCTGGGGTTGCGGCGCTCATCTCGCTTTATTGGCCGAGGGAGCCGGCGTACAGCTTCCAGGTCACGTGGCCAGCATGACTAAACCGCTTCTGGTGAACCAGAGCAGCGCACGGAAACGCCGTTTACCTTCCCGCCGGGCTGTACCTATTTATCTACTTGCACTTTGACATGCTTTCGAACTGCTAGGTTGGCAGGAGCTGGGACTGAGCAACAGGAGCTCACCCCGTCGCCGGGATTCGAACCGCCGACCTTCTGATCGGCAAGTCATGGGCTCTGTGGTTTAACCCACAGCACCACCCACGTCCCTGGAAGCCTCAATACAATAGGGAAATTCAAAACGGAAACCGTGTGGCACGTTCAGCTTCTGAAAATCATTCAAAAACCAAATCAGTTATTTCCTGGTTTTCGGCATTCGGGTTCCAAAACTTTCGTCAACGGAAACATTCGAGAACTGAGGTTCCACTGTACTACAAAATAATTTCTTCCCTGAACTTTCCCCCTTGTGGTTAGAGAAGAAGTTCTGAAGTTCAGTATGATCTCCTTTTTCTTTTCACTTTTGATGATGAGCTATGAACTTGATCTATGAAGGGCATTCTGGTCCATGGTAACACTTAGATAGGATGATGGGTGAGTTATACTTACAGAATAAGGCAGGGGACCTGTGGACTTCCTGATGCTGTTCAACTCCCATCAGCCTTGGTCAGCATGGCCCAATGGTCAAGGATGATGGGAGTTGAGCAACATCTGGTGGTCCACCCCTCCATCTTCTGATACAGAAGGAACTTAAATGCACGTCATAGGTTGCCTGTAAAAGCTTGGCAGGAGGGGTACGGAAACTTGTTGGGATATCTTTATTGTCACCATCCAGTTCTGAACTTCTTGCTCTGCTCTTGAACTCCTGGATTATAACTCCTGAGCCCTGAGCCTGCTGTCAATTCAATACACCTTTTTCCTCAAAGGTCTCTTGCTAGCTCATAAGTAAGAACGTCTGTCTGCATGTGTTGGGCAGGAGCCAGGAGCGGGTCGCAGGCACTAATCTCTTATTGCGGCAATTGGAATAGACAATAATTTTCATCTATGTGGCATCTTTCTTAAAAATAAAAATCCTATCTCTTCCATCCCCTATCCTGTTTGTGCCTTGACTGCTTGATTACAACCCACATTTTATTTAGTGTTTGTTTAGCATCAATAACCGAAGGGCATCTGCACACTTTCAGAGATGTCTGAAAGGCCACTGAGGAGGTTTTTAAGCAGAGACTGGATGGCCACCTGTCATGGATGCTTTAGTTGAGATTCTTACATTGCAGGGGCGTAGACTAGATGACCCTTGTGTGCCCTCCCAAATCTACAATTCTATGATTCTATATTCTTTAAGAAAGCAGTTTATGAAATTATTAAAATACATCAAAACAAAGGAAACAAAGCAAACAGTTATAAGGAATACTAAAACAACACCATCTTATGATCAAGAACAGAGTTCCTAATGCAGAAGTGCCCATTTGACAACAAGTTCCTGTAATTCAGAACTCCAAAAGCAGGGGAGGCATTCAGATGATAATTAGTCTGGAAGCATCCCTAGATGATAGGAACTTTATAAATAGCAATTAATGCTACTATGTGCACAGGTGAAGCTATTAAAGAATATTCTATTTTGGTAATAACTTATTGCTGTAATTAAAAGAGAAACATCTATAGGGTAAAAAAGTCATATGCTTTTTAATATAACCCCCCCTTACTGGTATGTTTAATTATATTTCATATATTTATCCATTTCCTCCCCTCCCATTTCAGTATGATACATTTTCAGTAGGAAGCTGCTATCTTTTTAATTGTGTACAGGGCACCCAAACACCCACACCCATATATATATATATATATGGGAAAGCTGTTAGCATACTGGATATATATGAAAAATATCCAGTTTGCTAACAGTTTTCCTTTCTGTGATGCATCTCCGAATGACTGTTGCTAAGTAATCCTTTTTGTCCTAAAGACAAGGGAAGTAATGTGAGATATATATATATGCATAAAGTAGGTTTTAACTTGGAGAGATTTTTTTTTTTCAAAAGTCTAGTGGTACTGTTTCTAAAGGTCCTCAAGTGGTTTTACTCTTCAACAAAAT